ATAAAAGACTATTCTAGAATTAAAAAACATAGTATTTTTATCTTTTTAAAAAAAAATTCATTTAATAATAAATCTTCAAATTAATTTTAATATAGATTGTTCTGTGACTATATAGTCCAGGAATCCTGCATAATCCCAGGAGCTTTAAAAGGCAGTTGTTTACCAAATACAAAAATAAAAGATGATTGGGCGTAAATTTAGCCCTAAAATCATCATAGATCAAAATAAACTTAAATAGAAATGTCTAGAATTTTCTAATTGTACAAAAAAAGATATGATTTGCATTATTCAAATTTGATAATATTCGAGACTAAAGTACCTCTTAGTACCTTTACACGAGTACCTCTCAGTATTTTTATACAAGTACCTTTCAGTATTTCTATACAAGTACTTTTCAGTACCTCCACATAAGTACCTCCACATGGGTTCCTCTTAGTACCTCTGCATAAGTACTTTTTAGTACTTCTATAGCAGTTGTGCCATTATATCTCTTATATGTAGAAAAGTTATAAAAAGAAAGCCTTTGCCTCAAGAAAGTTAGTTAGCCTTCTTTACTTTTCTCATAGTATCCAGTCTTACCTTTTTATACTTTTTGGTTTTGTATAGTGTAATATATTCTTTCTAGAGTAATTCTAATAAATAAGATTATTTTCCTTGATCTATAATAAATAAAGTATTAATTTATATACTGTCTCTATATAGAACAATTACCTCCTGCTAGTAAAAGTTAGAGCACACTCTACTTCTATCCTGTGTATACCCCAATAGTAGAGTCCCTGCATCAAATAACTTTGTTACCTTGCTATATAATAACCAAGAAAACTATAGCATTGTAACAATAAATAAAGCTTTTGCAAATTTATTGTTATTATATTATGATTTAAAAATTTCTAAATCTAATATTATATAAATCTTGATACAATAGAATTCTTAATATTCTTCTATTATAGAAGCTAAAAAAATTTTATAAAAAAATAATTAAATATCAATCTTAATCAATTATATAATGATCAATCTGATAAATTCAGAAAATCAAAATTTAGATAATAAAGAATTGAGTACTGATAGTAAATCTAAATCTGAAATTTTAAAAAAGTACAAAAAAACTCTTCATAAGTATAAAAAAATTTTTTTTATATTTCTATATTTAAATATGAATTAATATAGATGTAGCCATAGGCTACATGTAGTCTGTGTAATATTTGTAATAGTAATATGATTTTAGTGTAATATATAATACAATCATTTGTAATAGTAATGTGATTCTAGTATAACATATGATACAATAGCGCATACGCATATAAAAGAAAAATTCAATTGTTATTACTATTACAAATCAAAGCTAATGTAAAGTATACGCTTACTCTAAAGTAATTGTTTGACCATCTTTGTGCTGAACGAGCATTCCTATTCTTGACAATACTAGCCTGATAAAGGCTGTGTGGTAAACGCTTAGAGTTTTTTTTTCTGGTGCAAAGAAATTAAGACACTTGCATTTCGTTCCAGTGCATAAGGTGTCCAACATATAAACAAGATGGGTTGCTAGTAAGTTAAATAGTACAGCAGTTATATATTGTTGATTTACTTACTACTGTTCTGTTGGCTCTAGCTATACTATTTATTCTAACCATTCTGTTCATTTCAGCAGTTACATTCATTATGACTATTCCATTTGTTTCACGTCAATAATATATACAGTATAATGAGGTGGGTTATTAGCTAGCTCTTTTCAATTAAATATTACAGTACTGTGATTATATTATTGGGTTACTTACTACAGTTTTGTTGACTCTAGTTGTTCTATTTGTTTCTGTTGTCTGGCCATTCTATTCATTCCAGTTGTCTAGCCATTCTATTCATTCCATTCACAAAATATATAAAACAAGGTAGTTATTAGTTTGCTTATTCAATTAAACAGTACAACCAACTAGCAATTGTAAAATACTTACTCTAGTTCTATAAGTTTTAGCTGTTCTATTCAAGTATTAATAATACAAAATGAAGATACATATGAAGCAAGGTAATTTATTTTAGTAAAGCATTGTGATGGATTTATTCGATTATATGAAAGTTAAAGCTATAGTAACTTATTATTAATAAGTTACTATAGTTTTAACTTTCATGTAATCGAATAGGCTTAGTATTTAATATATTAGTCATTTACTTACTTTCTTATTATAATAGTTCCATCCAAGCATCAAAATTGACTAATAAAAATTTAAATTTGAATTCACCGGTGCCACTTATTAATGAACGAACATCTGATAGTATTAGTATTAATAATAAACAATCATCAAATAGTGTTATTGACATATCTGAATCTTTTTCACCAATTCCAATACCAGAATCTGGTATGTTATTTAAATCATGGACAGAACTTAATAGGTATATTGATGCCTATTGTAATTCTAAAAACTTTTCTAAGATAAAGCTTTATCTTTAACTCTTTCCGACGATCATTTGGACCAACCTTACCGACAAAAAAAAAATAGAAGTTTGCTGAAGTTGGAGCTGAAGTAGACGCATAGTAACAGTTTTTATAGAGGTCAACCGGGTTGTCTTGCTTTTTCTTTTGGCTCGGAGACTCCTCTATATATTTATCATGCAAGT